CCCCAAAACCCCAAAACCCCAAAACCCCAAAACCCCTGTTTTTCATTGTAATATTGAATCAGATAATTTATACAAACTAATCCTTCTTTTTTCTCATGAAATAAGACTTCAAGTAGCAATATGAGAACACTGATGAGGTCAAAATGAACCCAATCGAAAGAATCCCACAGCTAACAAGAGTTGTCTTCAGCTTATTTTGACCGTCCTGGATGTTCTCCTTTAAAAGATTTGTACGTTTCATTGATTTTCTCAATTCAATTACTGTGTCGACTATCTTTTGTGCTTCAAGCTCAGCCGGCTCGAGGTGCTTCTTTGTAACCAAATCAGAGTAATCCTTAGCATCAATACCAGTCTTAAGATCAAGTGAAAATTCGACCATGCTGTTCTGAGTGTTGACAACTCAAACTTTGTAGGTTCCTGCATCAAAACTTGTGAAAGGAAATCTAAATTATCGCTTAAATCAAGTAAAGACATATTCATACCTGATCACTTGAGCCTGACCACGATTGAATATCTCCTGATTCTTTGGATTATACACTTTCAGAGTTAATGCTTGAGAGTTTGAACTAATCTCAACAATTATACTCACATTTTCAGGAAGATTCTCAGTGAAGCAGATGTCATCTAAATATCATAAGTTTTAACTATCCTTCTAAGAGGTAAAAATTGGTTAATGTTTTCAAATTAAAAATGTGTTTGAACTTTGCTTAGTCACCTCTCTCTATCACTGTCCGTTAAGGACTTTAAGAGGATTGTGGGAGTAATTTTTTGAAATTTCCAGAATGTTTGGACATTATGATCAGCCAATACTTGACATTAAGATAGTAAAAACTAAAGAAACCACCTCCTAACTAACCTGAAGCATAAATATCTCTAAATTCTATGAATCCGGCACTCTTAAAGGAAAGATAATGAGCTTAATAAAACTAAAGATGTCTCAAACACATGTAATGGCTCCATTAATCTCTAACTTCATATTCTTAACTTGGAAACAGATTTACAAGTATAAGAATCTAAAGGCCTCTATAATCACGATCCCAAGATTGAAATTTTCAATTCTGCCAAGTACGATTGGAATAGGTAAAAGCTCGGCCTAATGAATGCCATAGTTAAAGATTCTGCTTGTTCTAAATCCTTTTGCTGGTGCTCAACCTAAGTGCAAACCCAAATTTAGCTCTTCAACTTACCATGTGGTCTCAGGTCATATCTGAAGCTAGTATGGTCGCATACTGCAAAGCCAACCAGGAGCAGAGCAAAGAGAAGTTGCATTTGGAAGCCTAAAAATATAAGAAAGAAATCGCCCAAAGAGAAAAAGGATGTGCTTAAGAATAGCCCATAATTGAACTGATTAGAAGTATTGAAATCCTTACCTGCCATTGTTATAAGATCTAATTTATTATTTATTCAAGTATTTGAACTTTTGTTGGGGTTTTGGGGTTTTGGGGTTTTGGGGTTTTGGGG